AAGATTATCTTAATTTCTTCATGATCCAATAATCAGATTTAAACCAAATTAGTACAGGATCACCTGTGAGGTAACTCCTTAAAAAAAAAAGAAGTATTGAAATCGGTTAACGTGGTCCAAAGTTATGCGGCAAAAAAAAATAATAATAAAAGAAAATATAAATATTAAGACGAATTGATAACCTTCTGTTTTTTGGGAAGTCGGTTAAAAAGACAAGCAGAAAAACGCTAAGACCCGTCTTCAGCAGATCTTTCAATCAGTTTCTTGAAAGACAGAAAAGTGCTTTCAAGATAGTTGCCGGAATTGACACCTTCTGACCAAAAATTTTTTCAATCTAATTTTTAACCGACTTCAAAAAAAGAAGAATATCTACACACTAATGAACTGGTTCGCATTTGATAAAATATCTAGGTACTATTACTGAATCAAAGATTTATTTCATTAGTTCAAAGTTATACTGCAATATGGTTTAGCTTCTCAATTCTCCAAATGCCGACCAGTTGAATACTAATGGATTTCCCTGCTGACTGTTGTAGCCATGTTTCAATATGGCCATGTATGCCATGTTGGATGCATGGATGTAAATATGTATGTAATAAAGGCAATATTTATTGAGTTGTTCGAAATTGCGCAAAGAAATAAGCTACCGACTACCGAAATTGAACGCGTGGTTGACGATTTGTGGATTTGAAAATGTTTTATTGCTTCCACTCTTTTATTACTTTTACATATGGGCATATGTACGTATGTATGTATGCTTACATAATACGTATTTATCACATATGCAAAAGGATGGATATAGAACCTTTGCTATATAAAATTCTACAAAATGTTTTTCTTTTTCCGTCAGCCTTTTATGGGGCCTGCCACATGCCACCGCTGCACGAGGCACCTTTATTTAGTGGCACTGTTTCTGTTATACTTGTTGCATTTTTTTTTTTTGGTTTACATTGGTTAGATTTTTTACTTTTTTATTTATTTTTTATGTATAGTATAATGCATTGTCTGTATGTAACCCCCAGCTTTGCATTTTTTGTTACCATTTTTAGCTCCCTCCTCTTGTCCTTAAAATATTTTGTATTCCTTATTTGGTCTTTTTTCTTTTTCCTTTGCTTTGTGTATTCTTTTTATGCTCTCGCGTTTATTATTGGATTTGTTTGATTTGTTTGTTGACTTACAACGTCCGTTTACGACTTTGCTTTCCACTCGTTCCTTTCCTTTTGATCTGTTGGCTTATGACAAGTCATTTGTATCAGTTGTGTGACTGTAATCACAAGCATTGAGGTTGATTACATGTTATCATGTTTTATGTAAGTTGACAGCGATCGATGGTCGAGTGATTATTTGATTTTTTTTTAAACGTAGATAATGGTGGTTCGAGGCTACTTCGTGAAATTCTTAATCTTTTATTGGTGATAATTCAGTTTTACGGTTTTCGAATTATTAAAATGTATTATTTTATCTACTTAAAGTTTAACTAAAAAAGAAAAACGTATACATACACGCAAAAGCTAAGTAAACATTATTTTAACTGCTTTTAATTTTTCTTAACTTTATCGATAAAATTTATCGATACCATTACTGATATAGTTATCGCACAAAATATATTGATATACAGTGAAATCCACTTAAGTATCAACCCGTTTAAGTACCTAACCCGCTTAAGTAACCAACATTTTTGGGCAATGTAAATTTTTTACTGTAATATGAAGAAAATCCCTATCTTAAGTACCTCCCCGCCTATTTACCCAACCCGCCTAAGTACCTAAATTTGTCGTACCCCATTTACCATTTTACCTATAATTTTCCCCCTTTAAGTGCTCTTTTAAAATTCCTTAAAATATTTACATATTTTGAAATTCAGTGGCAGCGTCACACACCTACGGCAAAAAATTATAAAAAATCAACGGTAATTTTTAGCTACTTAAAACTTGAACATTACTACACTAAAATTGAATGTGCTATAAAACTCTATACTCAAAAAACACTTCTGAGAAAAAATTTAAAATTTTGGTGAATTTTTTTCTTTAGGTGTTCTATAAAATGTTTTATTCAAGGTTTACATATTTATGTAAGTTAACAAAAGATGTAACTACATCAATAATTATGTTCGCCTAAGTACCCGCATCGATGCACTTAAGCGGATTCTTTTAAGTGCCCAACCCGCCCAAGTACCTCAAAAAGCTAAGCATTTTTCGTGAGGTACTTAAGCGCAGTAAAACCCGCTTAAGTACCTCACGAAAAATACATAGTTGTTAATACCTTGTTTTTTTACGTTATCGCTTTAGTTATCGATATATTACCCGAAAAATTTATCGTTATGTTGGTAAAAAAAAATCCACATTAAGACACGTTCACTAATTAAATCTACTGACTTGATTTCTCTAAACAGTATCGATAAATGTAGATAGATAGTCGATAAATTGAGCAATTAATTTGTCAATAAATATCATGTTCGACAATAACTGGGGACATTATTGTAACTGTGCCGATTATAATAAGAATATATACATAGATTGATAACTCTGTGGCCTTAAGCAATAACCGCCTAAGTCGACTTAAGAAATAATTGAGTTATATATGCTATCGTTTTCTGCAACTACTGTTCCATGTGTATTTGAAATCGCCAGCTAGCCAGATAGACTATTTAAAAAGTTAAAGACGAGCATATTTTGGCTTCTCCATAAGGATAATATTACAATCCAAATTTTTAAACGTTTTTTCTCGAATTCAGGTTTTTCGACGTAGGTGGTTATTACTTATGACATATGGGGACAAAACGATACTAGTAAATAGTACTCGATACTTTTCGTCCGATACCAAGTAATTTTGGTGTCGATACTTTTGAACCGAGTACTGAGTAGGTATCGATACTTTTGAACCGAGTACGGAGTAGGTATCGGAAGAAGGTACATGGAAGGTGCCCCAAATCCTATCTCGGAAAACATACATACATATCGTCACCTGAAATGCAAAAAGACGTAACAACATCGTAACTGAAATGTAAAAAGTCGTGACTAATATTATTTATTTTTTTTTTCATAAAATGATGTGAGAGTTGTAATTTGATGAAATATGATGGACATCAATCAAAATGTGAATTTTGAATTTTTTATTAGTTACGTCTTTTTGTATTTCAAGTATGTATATATATTCATTATGTATGTAGGTTATTTCTGCAAGGAAGTTTCGAAAAAGAAACATATTTTCGGTCCAACATAGAATCTTAAAGTTCTTGTCTGGAGGAGACCTTTTTTTGTTCCAAAGTTCATTGACTTCAAGAACCGCGTTCTAGTATCCACCGATTCTCAGTTTCTATCACCCTAAGATGCCACCCCATTTGTCATTAAATTAAAGCTCTCCAAAGTCATTAAACTTTTGCTAAAAGGCTGTCGCAGCTCTTAAGAATAACGAAGAATTCATATAAAACAACGCATAAGAAATGGAACTTTCAAACTTGGCAAACTTTCTTAAATCAGAAAAAAGAAAATTTACAAAGCAGCAAAGTACGTTTTCAAGCAACAGATATAATGAAAAATATTCCCGTGATTTTTCTTAAGAACTATTTAAAAAACAATGACACTGCCGAATGTAGATGTCACCGAAATTTTTTTCTTTGTTTGCTTTTTAGGTGCTGCGGTGGAATATATACATCTATATCTACACTATATATAAAATTAAAACCCAAATTTTTGTTAGAGCATAACAGCCGATGTACTGGGTCGATTTCTATGATTCAAGTTTTAAAATTACATATTTGTACCACAATAGGACACAATGGTATTTTTAAAATGAAATTTTAATAATCTGTAGATGTATTTAATTAAAGTATTAAGTTGATCAACAATAACACGCATTGCTAGATCGTTTGCCTTTCACGCGTTTGTCTTTAGGGAACATCTACAAACCACATATTGCTCTCTATTCTCTTCTCTTTTTATACTCACCTACAGTGTTGCCTTTTTAGAGATTTTCCCACTATATCTAGCGATTTTATTTTCTACTTAGCGGGAAAATTATAATTCAGTAACTAGCACGATTTTTAGCGTTTATTTAGGAGATCTTAGCTAGTATACATATATAGGCACAGATGGTTTGCATCGAGCTTCTTTTAGCCACCCTTGTTTTTTCATGCGAGTGCATATATAAATCTTAGGCAGATCACTACTTTCAACTTAGCCAGCTTGATGAGTTCCTCAACATGCCTTTCCCGCTGGAATTTAACGCGGGTAGTTTAGCTTAGCAATCATTATTGACATAGAAGGCACGAGTTCCTGTTAACCTTCCGTACGTCTTTCTTCTTTACCTTAGGAAGATCTCTCTTTCCCAATCACCAATGCATTGTGCGAGTTTCACAGTTCAACTTGCCTTTCGAGGGTTTACAGCAAAGGTTAGACCAAGGTAGTCTGAGTTGCTAAGGGGCACCAAGGTTTGAATGCTTTAGTGATTGTATTTGGCAGTGTCTGGTCATCGTACATGGTACACTCTTCCAGCAGAACTATCAACCCATCCGATAAGGCCTAGACAATATCAGGAAGCTTTTTCATGAAATTACTTATGTTCAGAGAGGACCTCCATAGCCACAGACAAATGCTACTGGATCAATTTCACATCGAATAACTTCTCCTGGAGTTTATCTAAAGGACTTTCAGCATCATAGAGATGGTCATTCCTCATCTAACTCTCTACTTTCATAGCTTCGACACTATATTTCTCTACCTTTAACTCAATCGAACTATCCAGACCTATGTTTTCTAGACTTATTTTACCTTAAGCATATTGGGACTATCGTCTCTTGTGTTGCACTACTTGCTCTGCTGTACCGTAAGTCTTCCGCCTACTTTCCTATTATATTTTCCAATGATTAAATCAATTTATGCTCTTGTGTGCCTGGTGTTATAAGTAGGGCTTCAAAAGCCATATTTAATTGTATTTCGTTTAATCGATTCCTATCGCACATTTCATTAAAGACTTTTCCATCTTCCTATCCTACATTGCAGGTCTGCGCCATCCAACACGTCGACGTCTGCATGTTCAACAATGGCAAATTTAAAAATATCGTCGCTGACTCCGACACCCATTCGCCCGTGGATCGCACTGTTGCGCCCGGTAGCACGCTAAACACCACAGTTATACTCAAGCCACAACGTGGACAAACCAAGAATTGGATTGCGCTCGAAGATACACTACAGCGTAGTACCGAACCCGAGGAGATACATGGCGTCATAGCCGCTTCAGCGATACGTTCGCCGAATTTAATACTCGCACCCGGGCAGGCGATTAATCCTTGTCCCAGTCCCGCTGTGGGCATACCACAACCCACAGGCTACCATGGACATGGCGTGTCCGGCAATGTGGGCGACGATCGCAACGTCTTCGCTATTTATGTTTCCTACTATGTAAAAGTAAAGCTAACCTTGAGCGGCATGGGTGGTGAACTATCGCTGAAGTTACCCTTCGTATTGGTGCACGTAGAGGAGCCGAAAGTGGAGCACAAGGTTGAGCGGCTGGCGCTGGATGATGTGCCGGCGGGTAAGAAAAACGGCGGTAAAGTGAAAAGTGGCATCGGCGCGACACCGACGGGCATAGCAGGCTCACGCAAGGATGGAAATGGACGGGTGAGTGCGCATGCGCAACAGCTCGATCGCATCGAGTCGGTGGATGACGAGCTGCGTTTGCCAATACCGGAGGCAGTCACACCAAGCGCTGCGCCAAGTGGCAGCAACAAACGAAAGCTGGTGCGCAGTGAAACTTTGGCTAAAGATTTGGATGAGGAAATAGAAGAGCAGGCTGAAATGGAAGCAAGAAAGTCTACAATTTCCACAGAGGAGAGTGTGACAAAAGAAGGCGATGGAGAGCTGGAACAGGTGCATGTGGTGCAAATACACACGCACGGTGCGGTTGCTAAAGAAACGAAGGTGGTGGAGTGTAAGCAGCAGGAGCAGGTGGAATCAAAGGTGAAAGAAGATGTAAAGCCACTAGATGCAGAGGAGGTACAACAGCAGTTACAAGTTGAGCCCAAAAATGAAGAAGCGATTATTGAAGTAGCGTCAAAGATGGAGCTGAATTCGAAATTGGTAGAGGAAACGCCTAACGTCGATGACCGTAAAACTGCTCATATGACCAATGTGTGATTCTCATTTCTACGCGGCATGTTTCACAAGAAACGACACACGAAGTAGGTGAACGTTTTTAGCTTTCATTGAAAAATATATACTCCCATATAACAAGTTTAAGGTAAACATTTGTTTACGAGTTAACTAAAATAAAGGCAGTTGAGCTGAGAAACTAATTTCAAGGTAACCCAAAACTGAGGCGAATTCGGAAATCCCAAAGTAAAAGTCGAAAAATATGTATTCCAAACGCATTATTTTGGACATAATGATCCAACCAGGACACGATTTATTGGGCATGCATGCATATAGATAATTTCCAATGAAAATGCTGGAACATTAATTTTACTTTTTCTAGGAAAAAACAAAATAAAATTAAGCAATAAGGCAAAAATTTGGTTTCATACAAAATTTTTGATGACGTGGATATTTATGCGAAAGTACTAAAAATTTGGTAATGTCTGTTGAAATCGGATTTACACATATTTACACAATGACGATAAAATTATGTATTTATAAGAACAATTTGAAAGCTTGTTGCAGATCTTGCTATGCCTAAATGATGATCGAGTTCATAAAATGGTCAGTAAGATATTTATTAAACAAAATGTTCGAGTAACATTTTGATATTCATCTCATAAAAATGACAAGTACAAAACTTAAACAAAAAATGATAAACTAGATTAAGACATTGGTATGCGAGAGTTATCTGTAAAGCGTTGTCTATTATGCCTAGACAAGTTAAAAGGTATATGCATAGGTGATTATATTCTATGAAGCTAAAATCTAATTTATGTAGATATATTTCATCCAAAAAAATGGGGTACTCAAGAGGTATTTTGTATCACAATGACGAGTCCTTAATCTAGTTGAGCCAATATACCTTCAGTTTCAATGATAAAACCATACAAGTTCGTCGTATGCGAATAGCTACAACAAATGCATAGGTTCGGGTATAATTATTATAAGTTGAAAAGTATAAATTTATGTATCTACTCAGGCCCAGACACTCACACGACATGTACTCAAGAAAAATCCGTAATTTATCCTCGCGGAAATACTGATCCGGTACATAAGAAAATGCAGGCGAATGTGGCTGCTAAAACATTAACAAATACATATTCAAATAGCCTGACCTGTCTAAGGCTCCCAGTACGTACGACGCTCTAAGTTTACCTGTTCGGAAATTATAAGTCTAGATGACTTTGAAATGTTTAATGCCGCAGTGGCCAGATTTGCAGAACCCTGTGGCCATGTTTTCGGCTGCTATCCCAAGTGATTACTACAAATTCGTGCTCCTGTGCACGCTATTAACAGCTTTTCGTGAGGGAATTTTGCGGATGAAAAACTAGTGGAGCAATTGTCAGAATTCCACTGCAGGTATGAGTCGCAATTCCTTAGAAGCCTGATTGTAGACGTACTTCTATAAATTTTGTCTGACAATATTTAGAATCAGCGGCACCAGGCAACGCAAAGCTTCCCAGTAAACATTTGGATTGGAGATCATGTGGAGATCCGATACAAATTCCAAGATTCAATGTTGATTTTCAAGTATACATCAATTGGATAAACAACCCATTCTCTAACAAAAACGCACATTTTTTGTATACTAAATAATTTGAGTTCTCCACTAGAGAAAAGCTTGGATATTAATTTGAATTCAAGCTTTATTAAACTTTTCAAACATTAGGAAAAATCTTCTTTCTAATGCCTTAAAAACCACGCCCCATATTCTCAGTGCTCCAGGACAGAAATACGTAGAAGGAAATTATGAATTATGAAGATAATTGCCTTTACCTTCTTTCATATAATATTACACGCTGTAAAAGAAAAGCTTGCGAAGTAGGGATGAGCGAAAGAACAACTGCATTCGAACTAGACAACTTGACAGCGCCCGCTAAATTATGTAGTTATACTAAAAACTGTATCGAGAGTATTGAAGCATTTTAAGAAGAGCTTGGTGGTTACTCAAGAGATAGGTTCCTGCAGAAAAACGGGCACCAACGGTCAAAAGAAGAAAAACAAAATCATCACCGTTTTGCAGGAAAACCCCAATATTTCGCTCACTAGATCAAAAACGGCTGGTCTCAAGGCGTTCAAAGTGCAGAAATCTCGCAGAACTAAAAGTAGTTTTTTTTTTTTTAGAAATTCGTTTGCTGCATCGTGGAATATTAGACGCTGTTGCCGTAGCCTCCAGAGTAAGAGTTTTACATGAAATCTGGATGAAAAAATATAAAACAGATAGTTTTCCCAATATACTTCAAAGTGAATTCCTATCCCATTAAATTTGAATTCAAAGTGGCTTTGGTTGAAATTCACTCAGAAATGAATTGCTGAACCTGCCTGAAAGCCTTTCCTAAGCCAGTATGAGGTTTTCGCTTTCTGTCGGTTGGATCTAGTCTCCTGGATTTACAGTAAATTGGCTTTAGAATGGTAGTCCTTGAAAAAATATGCTTTTGGTACCACGAGAAAAGAATCCGACGAACTGTTCAGAGCTCTGGTCAATCCAAAGATACAATTTATATCCGGCTCTAGACCGAATGATCCTTACCTTTTTTGTTTTGAATACGACTACTGACGGACTGAAAGTCTTCTTGGAGCACACAATGGATGTTTAGGTCTTAGTATTTAACTCCAAAAAAGTTTATAGGAACAGCTAAACCTGAAAATGTTGGTTGACAAACTACATCGTTAAGACTTGTCTTCACCATTTCGAGAACCAGTGCTAAACAAATTAAGTTTTTTTTTTAATTTTTGCCAAACGTCAAGCAAGCTAAGCTTCAGAGAGTGTCTTAAGTTGATCCCAACTAATTGATATTTAAGTCATCTCCGTGAGCAAATTCCAATCAGTCTTAGGAGGATATATAAGAAGAGCTTCGTTTTGGATGGCAAAGGCTTCTAAATCTCAAATCACATTTATATTTTGTTAGTGCTTAGGTGTAACAGAATAAGAGACACCGCGACCTGAAAGATCTTTTGTTTCTCTTCTTGTCCGCCTTCCGTAATGAATCCTAAAAGGACCTTAATAGGCGAATTCTTTATGACAAAGGGTGTGACCATTGACCGGCCAATGCCGGACAGTGACAGAGAATTTGCTCTGAAGCTTCATCGTCTTCAAGGCAGAGCCGACTTTCCCACTCGGTGATCACACCTATTCGGTGCAAGTGGAATCGCAATCGGTTGCGAACAGTCATATACCCAGAAATTAGTCGGATGTCATTTCTATTTTCTAAAATATTATCTTATCTGATGAAAGGGTAGCCGAATATCCTGGCCTGTCTATGGCTCCTCGCCGCTGTCTAGTACTTACTGCGTTCAGAGTGTATCCACTCAGTAATTATGGCCCTCGAAGAGGACCAACTAAGGCCACAGAATGGTTGAGGTCCCGAAAAGGCAGTTAGCGATCCTTCTCGTTTATATTTAGTTATCCTCAATTTTTTGTGAGTGAAGACTTTAGACCGGTGATGAACGCCAAACCAAACTGACAATGCGCATTTGTATAACTGTAAGGTCTACGATGTTAAACCTCCTAAAAATATGCACTTTAGCGGGAAAAAGAAACTACAATGGAGACAAGATTATCAGGCCTAGTCTAAAAAAGTCACAAAACTCAGTGCATAACTAATGTGACTTTTACTGCGCCTTAAAGTATGCCGATATAAAAAAATATGCCTCTAGAAAAAAAAATTATATTTTTATGCATTTCTTTAGCACTTAAAATCCAGTTTGTGTGGCATATTTTGAGGTGCAGCAGAAATCACAATAGTGATACGCTGAGTTTTGTGACATTGTTTGCATTATTAGGGCGGTAAGTATATGCAATGAAATTTATAGATTACAATTAAAATAAATCCACCGCACGTATAAGTACTATAGCTTAAAAGCAAACTAAATACATATTAAATATTAAATAGCAGTAATAAACCTAAAAGTTGGACTAAGAAAAATATAAAAAAACAGCACGAAAATCATAGACATCAGCTAGACCTAAGTGTGTGTTTGTATTTAAATTGCATGCCAGCCTAATTGTTATTTGCATGCCCGCCTAAATGTATACTACAGAGTACTAAAGAAGATGTGGATTATAAGAAATCAAATTTGTTAAATGCAAGAAGCTGGTCTTCTGAGGTTATTATTGTAAATTTAGATATTTAAAGAAGATGTACTTAAAAAATTTATTAGAGTTATAGAAATACAACAAGAAATAGATCACCACTAAAACAAAGGGAAAACAAGCAACAAAAATAAATTAACAATTTAAAACCACACGACCAAAAATTAGCTTAAGATATCAATCCAAGAAAAATAAAAAGTAAACAGAGTACCACACGCACCACCACACCACACCTTAAACTATGTAACATACTTTTAGGGTGTCAATGACAGAGTTGTCATGTCATACAAAGATACTATTGCATCCAAAGCGATGAAGAGTCGGTAACCACAAAGGTTTAAGTATTTGCGATGAGTTTCATTTTATATGTAGTCATCAAAATTAAACCCAAACATGAAACATTATTAAATGCAAGCAAATTTTAACGTGAAAAATGTATTTAGAAAAGCCAAATAAGTAGCAACTTAAAGAAAATGTGTGTTTGTGGATGTAAAGTAAATAAATGAAAAATGAGCTAACTTAATTATCAGAAAGTTCTTTTTTAAAGAGTTGATTCATCTGCAAACAACATCAAGCAAAGGTAAGTAAGAAAATATGTATGTATATGAGCAAATCTCACGAGTTGTTCTTTTTTTTAGTGTCACTCCCTTCTCTCGGTAGAAAAAAAACACGCTAAAGCACTATTCTTGCATTTATTTCAATCAATGGAGTTCTAGAAACAAGTGCAATAAAAAATAAATCAAATATGTATTTGAACAATTTTAGACTTAAAACGTTTATTTAGGCGAAAAAGTACTTATTTTTTCATTGTCACTCAAAAAAATCATAATTGTTTTTTTTTATAACTTTGGGAAGTTTTCGAATAGAATGTTTATATTAGACGCAAAAGACTTTGACACCAAATGCAACATATCTATGAAGTATCGAGCGTGTGCCACCTTTGTTATGTGCAGCTTT